ACCTGAGCAGTTGGTCTTCCTCACAACTTTTTAGCCCCATGGTCTAAAAAAGTTAATTTGCTAAATCCAGCTACAGTCACTCATTCAGGATCCTCTGCTCTGAGGGTTTATTAAGATGGCAGTCAGCTCCTGTGTTTCCAGGTTTCAAACACAGGAATACTGACAAGGAAGTCCTAACCAATGCCTGGTTATCTCTAGATGAACATCTCTAGTGTTATATGATCAATCCTAGTAACTCTTTTGCCATTTTTCATGATATAAAACAAACCAAAGCTATGAAAACGAAGAAGAAAGCAGAGTCTAGTAAAGTGAGGGAAATACCTAACCCTAGCTACTCACTACTTTATAATCCTCAGTCTTTGTAATTAATTCCACAAAGCTTTGACAGAGCCGTTCACCGAACTGCTGGTAAAAGGTGGTCAGCAGAAATCTCACAGAAGCTCCCTTGAGTACATTTGCTAAGTCTGGCTGACACCGCTCTGATGGGGCACCCCGGGAGAGACATGGGGACGGCTGCTGTGCAGTACTGAAGAAAGGGAAGTGCACAGCAAAATCTGAAACACATTAATTTGAAACACTGGGAGAAGTACTTGTTTCTGGTTTGTATGTACAGGGCTCCTGCAGAGCACCTGTTCAGTGCTCAAGACAGCACTGAGAACTTCCAAACTACCTGCCTTCTACTTCCTTGAAGCCAGACGTGACCAGACTGAAAGACAGACAGGCAGCAATTTGATTTTTAATGCTTATATAGCCAGAAATCACTGCACACAATAACAACATCAATCTAGTGCAAGTTCCGTGCCGCTCCTTACATTTTTCCCCGACTCTATCCATTGTGTGGTTGGAAAAATCTAGCTTTACTTTAAAAAGAAAAAATACAACCCCATGGAACAATTTGTTTAACAGTCTACCGCTAAGCAACAGCATGCTAGACCACAGATTGAGAGCACTCAATTTGGACCAGGGCAGAAAACCTCAGGAAGTGCCCTCAGTGAAGCATTTAAAATGTCATGTTAACAAGACTGGAGCTCCCCCCAAGTTTTTCGGTGCTCTACGCCATCATGGTGAAAGAAAGAAGTTCTGAGCAAAGCAAAACTGCTGGTGGTCAGGACTGGAATTTTAAAGCACATTGCAGCAGCTACGTATCCTTAAACCTTCCCTCAGCCTTTCTTAATTAGTAGTTGTTATCAACTTCTTTCTTTATTTATTTAGTAAGAGGCACATTAGCCTGGGTTTCACTCTCCATAAAAACTATTTTAACACTAAGCAGATTTGGGTCTTTATTTATTTTGAACCACAAGCAAAAAAGCAAGACGTTCAGTTTGGAAGAAGGTTGCCAAATAGATGAAAAAGGCCTGCAAGTCTTCCTTTTGGTTGCCCTTAGCATTTATGGTCAACCTTTCCCAGCTCAAAACCCAAAGTCTGCTCTTAATTAGCCTGGCGTAAATCAGAGCAACTCCATTGACTTCAGACAGCTTTTCTGGATATTGAGCACTGTGAGACAGAACAGAATTTGGCCAATATTGTCTTTTTTTGTTTTACCGGCACCATGGATTTTTCTCTTTTTGCAAGACTTATCGGTTGACAGAAAGCAGATGACTGTGGACAACCTGTTTGATGTGGTAAACAACAGCAAAGTAGCTGCCAAACCAGCTGACGGAGTTAGAAAGAAAAGAAACATGAACACTGTGGGAAGGAGAATTCTAAAGAAGAATTTCTACTGATTTGGGTAGTGAAGTCCAAAAATAACCAAGAATATTGCCCAAAACAAAATTTAGTACAGTGTAAGAGTGTGACTTTAATCTCTAACCGAGTCCATCAGAAGCAATGCCACTGAACGTAATGGTGATAATCCACTGTAAAACCAGACATAGATGTCTGCAACCACACACAAAGTTTAGACACCAGCAGGAGCAACACAGTAAGATTATCATTAATATCGTTACATGTTTCCTATTGGTAAAGAAAATGTAGCGAAGGAAGAAAGAGACTGAAACACATTTCGCAGACTATTTCTCAGAAAATACAGCACTGCAAAAACTTATTGTGAACTTTTTTCCTTCCTCGAGGGGGATTAGGATTATGAACCAAAACGAGGTCATTAGCAGAAGACAGATCTTTCCTGGATGAACAAAAGTTACTTTCAGTTTAGAGAGGTAATAAGTAGATTTTATCCTTTTGTACAGATTCCTCTCTACAACATTCATGCTGAAAGCAGAAGGGACACAATAAGCATTTCTTTTGACAAAAACAGGTGATGCCTGCATCGTATTTTAATATATGATTTTAAAAATTTCACTATAAATTGCAGTAAGGCCTAAACTTATGATGCTCTATTAAAATCCTTTAAACCAATAAATATGTTGCATCAGAAACCACGTGCTCAAATTTGAAAACTTGATTCTAGTAGGAATAATGCAGAGAGATAAACCTCTTTCCCCTTAAGGTTAACTCAAACTTTATAAATGTGTAAAAGATTTGTATGAGTCATTCAACTTATTTTTCTGTTTAAATGTTAACGAATAGAAGCCATGAAGCTTTTACTTTATTTTTTTTTCCCAGTTTAGCTATCAGGTGTAGAGATACTGTGTATTCATCTGGATTATTGCACTGAAAGTTAAGAGACTCACTAGGATATGATCAAGCAGGAAGGCTGGTTTTCCTCTTCCTACCACAACTACAGATTTGGGTAGATGATGAGACTGAAAATGTGCAGGACAGAATCAGCTTTTCCAAAACACTTGTTTACCAGCAACCCAGTGGGATTTATAGCAGAGCCAACAGTTGACTAGCTTCTTGTTATGGCAGCTTTTGAAATTTCACTGGGCATAGAACTTGCAGCTTCAGGCACCAAAACATATTCCATGGTCTGTAATGTCCAATGGGAAAAAAACCGATTTGCTAGCTATGAGTAATACTCCCTGTCTTTACCTGCTAAGAGGGTTGGAGAAAGGGTGGAACAAAAGGATTTGCCTTTAACCAATATGCGAAGTGAAGAACAGTGTTATTCATAATTGAAGGCAGGTGAGCAAGGTAGAAATTCCAAATGGAGTTGAAGAAAATTTAATTATTTTCCTAGAGAAGATTCCAAGGACTACACGAAATTAAATCTGACTGCTGAAATGGAGATTCCTTTCTTGGATTTAAACTTAAATTATGCTTTAAATTATGTCAGTTTCAAGGATGACGTAGAGCAGAAATGGATAATTTTTTTCAGAAAAGGAAGAAAATTATTGAAATTATGCTATATTGGCAAAATAATTTCACAGAATTTATGAAACTAATCTGCCATATTTCTATGGCCCTGATACTAAAAATCAGCTCAAACACAAACTCATTAGGAATTACTGAGGACTGCAAAATAAAGCTAGTAAGCAAACAACAGTGAGAAAATGTATTGGTATTGGCTGTCATTCTGTATGACTTGTATTTGTTTAACTACAGTAATAGAATCAACAATTTTTGTAGAGTTGAAGCACCCCCTTGTTTCTAATCCAAATTAATCAGTTTAACAAATCAACGACATCTGCTGCACATCCATGAGCACGGATTCTCAATCACATCGGTAAGGCACGAAGCAGCGCCCAAGATCATGCGCGAGGCATCCCATGCAGAGCGGCTGAAGCCCCCAGCTGTACTCACGCTGAAGATGCTTTCAACTCAGCCTCAAAGGCACTGTCATCCTTGTCATCAGCCTGTAAGACCCCCGGGGTCTCAGCCTCCAGATCACTGAAGGCCCGGCCAACAGAAGGTGATGGAAAACAAGCATGAATGTGTTGCCAAACGCAAAGAGGAGATAAAAGAAAAACAAAAAGAAAACCAAAAGATACTATGTGGTATACAACACACAACTAGTGTTTAAATTATCTGGAGTCTTGTATTTTCATACTGCCTAAAGCCGTTAAACTTTAGTCAACTATGTTTGCTTTGCAAGAAGGGCTGCTTTAGATGTAACACAGCATTTTAAGGCTCTAAGTTTGCACCCAGTGCTAACCAACAGAAACCTCCAAAGAACTTCCCAAATGTTGTAATCAACACAAGATACGTTCTTCATGGAGCACGCTTCGGTTTTGCAAATTGCACCTTCAGCCATGGGATGACAGTGTGCAGCTTTAGCTGTCTGCAGCATACGTATCTTCACCTGAGCTAGTCAGCCAGATTCCCTTTATAGTCAACAGAGAGAAACAGCCAGTTTCAGAGCGTTGATTCATCTTGGTTGAAATTTCAGACATGCAGGATATGTTAGATAACTGAAGGCCTACCAGTGCTTGCTGCACTCAGCCGACATCAAAGGGAGGCGAGCTGATCAGACATCTAACTTGGGCAAAATTAATTCCAGCCCTCTTGTGCGCAGTCAGACAGGCTGAGGATCTGCAGCTCCCTTTCTCCCTAAGCACACGGAGCCCAAGCCAACCTTTCTGGGACTGGCGATGACACTAGCTTTGCCTGACTCCAGCGTTGCAGACTGCTGCTCAGCTAGTCATTATTGTCTCTCTCTCACTAATTACAAAACATTAGATATATTCACTACTAGAGTGCAGCCTCAGTGGAAAATATTTATGCTGGAATGCTGATTTCAAAGGGGGAAAAAATAGAATGAACTGTAACATACACAGGACAAACAGCTCTGCATTGATGTGACTATGCCCTTGTTACAATCTTCCATTACGTGGGTATATTGAATATAAAATCTGCCAATGGATGAAATTAAGCTTGGTTAGTTCCCATATCAAATACTCTGCCTCATGCGGTTTGGGTCCATTTATTTAGGGTAGATGGTGCCAAAGAACTTTGCTATGTAGATCAGTCACCTACGTATCCATTTCTTTTCGTTATTGTTTTTTCTTTTTGTTTTAACTTTAAACATGCTTTTTTTTCCTTTTTAATTCAATGGAAAGAGGAAAATAAGGAAAAGCCTGTCTGATCAATGAAGTGCGATGAACATGATGCAAAGTAATAGAGGAAAAGAGGATTCCCCAGCTCACGCACTTACCTCTCACTGAGATCTTCACCGCGCTGTCCGTGGCCTAGCATGAAGTTAGGGTTTGACTGACCGCATGGACTCGCAGGGGCCGATAAAGTGCTTTTGATGTTCTGTACCGAGTGCCTGCGGCTCCGCCGGCGCTCTAGCCCTCTTCGCTCACCAGCACCAAGACTGGCTCTTCTCCGGTCCTTGCGCCCACTGGGAGGGGGGTCAGCACTCTCATCTCCATCCTCATGTCTCAGTGTCATCTGAGAAAGAAAGGAAGAAAGGCGAGGCTTCTGACATCGTTTCTTTAGGCACCACAGGTCTTCACACCCAGGCTCTGAAAATTAACTGATCTCAATGTGATTAACTCCTATTAGCATTACCGTTTCCACAGCTATCCCTGTAAGTTGCTGTCTATCCATTAGTGCAGTGTAGCAGCTCTAATAATGGAATTATATACTGACACCTTGCACAGAACATTACAGAACCTGTAACAACACATACATATATCTCCTAGTTTGGTGGTTTTTTTACACAGGACTTAATTTTCAAGAAAGCTGAGCAGTGTTGCACATCTAGCTCTCTTTACTTCCTTCCAAAATACTTAGGGGAAGTCTTGGCTCTAGTGAAATCCATCGAAAAAACTCTCATGCATTAGCTGACTGAACATTTCCTCAGGTTCAGACATAGCACTTGCAATGTTTGGGAGGAAGCTACCATCCACTACTTTAGAAAGTATTTTAGAATAGTGCTGTCATTTATTCCCAGCCGAGGAAGACATCAGCAGATGTATATGTAACTGCATTCCTCTTAAAAATTTCCATTTTTACAGATCTCCCTGCAAAGTAAACAAAGGAAAAAACCCTAACAAACAAAACTATTTCTGTGAACTGGTACCACAACGGATTAAAAATAAACCAACACAGATCACTCATCTACTCTAAGCCTGCTAATTTTTAGAGTGGCATAATTACTTTCACATATGCCTTTCAGTGGAAAATTCAGTATTTCCTGCCAGTTCAGAAGCACTGTCAATACAGAGGAATATATGTATAATATCAGAAAAGAACGATGCTGAGAATAGTATGTTCATTATGACATTTGACAGAAAATTCTGAAACAGGTTGGGAGCTCATCAGCTAGAAATAGCAGAGGAATAAAATATGGGTGCAACAGCTAGTATCTTGAACTACAGCACGCCGTTGACATGCCAGTGTGACATACCTAACAGAAACTAAGCAAGTGCTGTCTTAGGATATGTGAGGAGAACTATCGGTGGCAGAAACAACAAAGTTACTGGGGGATCTCACTGAAATGCAGCGTAGCATTTAAGTAACCTTTATATGAGAAAGATCCGTTCAGAGAGGCAGAGGTACAGAAGAGGGCAATGTGGGTGATGAGAAAAATGCATATCTTCTTGTTTCTACTAGTCTTGTTATTCTGATAATTCTTACCAGAAGTGACTTTACCTAAACAAAGGTGGGGAAGTGTGATATCTCTGCTTAGGGTGTAAAATCAATTCCAGTGGGGAAGAACAGCTTTTTCAGATAAAGAACAACATTGGGAGAAAAAAGCAAGAACATGCCTAGTAACATCTAAATTTTGTCTGGTCGTTAAGAGAAAGCTGGTACCCAGCTAAGTCAACTGCTAATTTTGCAATCAAGTCTTTCAGTAGGCACAACATGTGCAAAAAAACCTGCTTTTAAGATTAATGATCACCTTTTAAGAATGATTTTATGAGCCTCTGACAACAGAAAAAGAAAGAACTTGGATCTCTCTCATTCTCATGTTCCTATTTTGGCCTGACCCTGCAAACTGCTGTACATAAAACTTAACTCTGCTAAAGTTAGTGAAGTGACATGGGTGTAGAGTTGATGAAGAAAATACAGAATCAAAGCCATCAACTGCTTTGCTGGACTGAGATGGAGATAAAGTAATTTCATTTAACCACACCAGAACTTGAACTCACATTTACATTACATTAACTTCAGCCCAAACCTCCCAGCTCCAACACTTCCCGCAGTCTGAAAAGAGGCTAATTATTAAGAAACTGAATATCCTAACCTTACATATAAATACTTCAGAAGTAGTTACTTTATACCTAGACGGTGAATGTAGAGTCACTCATTACCCCATTGCTGCAAACTGTATAGGATCTGGCCCAGTGTGAACTCATAAACAAGGACTTGCTGGGTCTTCAGCTGCAGAATAAGTGGCATTTGCAAAGCTGAGCTCAGCTGAACCTTTTTCATGAGCTGAATACTTTTGCACATGGAAAGAACTACTTGCTTCAGGACATGTAACTAGCAGCCTGAGAAAGTTATAATTGCAGGCAGAACTGCCTCTAAGGAGCTAGTAAATGTGCTGCTTTGCCTTGGAGTATGCTGCAGCTTTAGTGTGAGATGCATTTGCATTAAACGCAGCTATGTACCATAGCAAGTCCCATATATGAATGTGTATAATACTTCTATCAACCAGATGTTTTTCTTTTAAAATAAAATAGATAATCAAATTTCACCTAGGTTACATTGCCCCCCTCCTCTCGGCTTTGAAGTCTGCACAAGCTGTAAGATGCATAAAACAGGGCATGTTATGTTACCTCATAAATGTTAAATTGCTCAACTAAGTCCAAGTCTGTTCCTTTCTTGTTCAAGTGTCTCTGTGAAATAGCTTCAATGCCTAGCTCTTCCAGACAGTCCACCACGTCGTAGAAAGAGTCTTGATCTGGCAACCCCGACAGCGTCTAAGAATCAAAGGAAAAACATTTAAATCTGTTTGTTTTGAAAAGAATTAAACAAAGGTTTCTAAAAGCGGGTGGCAAGTGGTGCTATGTATGATTTCAATAAAGTAAAACACATGATGTGGGATTAGAGACACCGCTACAAAATAAAAAACAAGTGGCAGAGCTTTTAACAAACTGTGCACTGTGTAGAAAAATGAATAATTGGCAAAACAAATCAATGTTGTTATTTCATACAAAAACGTATGGAAAATGCGGGCCTTTAAAATACACAGTTGGATTCTTCCTGGCTCCATTCAAGTACAGATTTAAAGACCAGAGAATGTTAGAGCATCAAACACAGGGATAAAAGCAGAGAGAGAGAAAAAAATGCTTTCACTAAAACCAGTGAAGCTGATTTCCTACTGATTCCTGTAAGTTTGGCCTTAAGAAGAAAAAGCCCAATGCACAGCTGTGTGATGTCAGGACAGCAGGAAATCTCCTGCACCACCTGCCTACTGTCCTCCACACCTGCAGCAGAGGTCATCCTCCCAGCACACAAATTGTTTTACAGTACAGAGCTATTGACTCCTTTCCTCCCTCTCAACTTGAAAAGTCTTATTAAGATACACTGACTCCTTAACACCTATAAAATGTTAAAAGAGTTACTAATTCCTGATTATGGGCAAAGCTGTTACCAGCAACACTGGAGAGAAGCTTTTGCACACTAGAAAATAAAGAACGCCAATAATAATAGCTATATCAAATGAAATGTTTGGGTTCAGAGCCTGTTACGGCACCTGCTCTATGTTCAAGAGAGAGCACTTTTCTTACTGTAGTCATTTCCCTTCTTTTTTTGTGAGTTCAGAAAACTGAGAAAAGGAAGGTGTCCTTCTGCAGGATACCATGGACACCACAGTATGCCACTGCAGTGTGTGTAGCAAGAGGGATTGAATCAAGCCACTCACAGTTTTACTGCAGAGTGATGCATGGGAAGAGGACATGGTCATCGGACAACTTTGTCCAGAGCACAAGCGAACTTCACCCACCAGAGTCCTGTAGACATTTATAAAGTTGACAGAAAACACTACTAATCTGGCTTGCAACTGATTTCTGCTCAGTTTGTGCTGATTTTTTACTGCTCTTTACGGATGATGCAGAAAAATGAGTGTAATCCTGCGCATGTTGAGCAGAAACTACTGAACATACTGGTGCAACCCACTTGCAGAGCAACATGCAGCTCATCACAAGAATCAGTCTACAGAGAGCCATTTCTGCACAATACGTGACAGTGCAGACTGGAAGCAACACACTTATTCTAGATTAGCTCACTAGAGAGATGCTTACTCTGAAGTAGTTTCCTCTTTCCTATTTAATTAGCTAAGTAACTTACCTATACTCACAGTTAAGGAGAGAAAGAGGGAGAGATAGAGAGTACACACAATAACCAGACTCTCTCCAGAAAGAGTTTCACCTTCGCATGCCCGAGATCGGATGAACTGCGCTCTGAGAACACTGGTTTTCTAGAGCATGGCCTTTCCAAAGTGGCTCTGAACAGCAGAATGCAGAAGAGAGCAGCCACTCTGGGGTGCCTCCCTACACCAAGAAACTTTACATTCAGAAAAATTGGTCTGCATTACGTGATTAACAATACAGAGGAATAGACAGCTGACATATCCTGTCCTGTTAAAGCACCTCTTTTCTGTGAAATGAGGCACTGGAAAATGTGCATCACCAAGGTACTTCATCTTTTTTTTTTTTTTTTTTTTTTTTTTTTTTAGAACTAAACAAAATACAGTAGCATCTTCTTCTTCAGTCATTACAGGATTATTGTCTGATGTCTGGTGAGGTCCACTGCACCAGGAATGCTTAGCACAAACACCAATGAAGTGTTAGGGTTATATGTTCAGGGTTATATGTTCAGGCTCTAATTACAATTTTGTCTTTGTTCAGGATGGTATTTAAGCCTCTTTTTAAACCCACTGAAGACCATGCAACTAAATTTTCCTGAACAGTGATGAAAATAGATACCATGTACATTTTGTTCTTTCGTAAACTGAGGCTGAGCATTGAGTAGAAACCTGAGGGTTCAGCAAATGAAGCCATCACACTGTAAATTCAATGGAGCTTTAACACAGATATGGAAATGCTGTAACAGAAAGTGATGTCTAGCTTTCTCTTCCTTATGAAAGAAGTAGACAGCAGCTGCGCTGAGTGTCTTCAGACACAATAAGATGTGATGTCTTGAATGCAAAAGGGTGGACAGCCAGGTCTTCTGTACAGATCTTCTGAGTATTTACTTCTTAAAATATCAGGAAATGGTCTTAATGTTGATATGCACATCACCCACCTTCAAGTATAGCTTTTTTAAAAATCTGAGGTCAGGCAGGCTGTAGACAGGGAAAACAGCAGCATAAGGTAGTATTTATGGGCAACCCTGCTTTTGTCAGCAGCCTTTTATTGGTTAATGTAATATTAAATCCTGCAGCAGTGGAAATCTAATCTTCACTACATGCTGTTGACCAGAACTGGGCAACTGAACCCCCAAGTACAGAAATCAAATATTTTTCCTTTGCACGGTTTGTCATTAAACTCACAGATCCATTTTCAGACTCTAATGCATGTCATATTCAATTTCTAACATTTTCAAATGCGATGTAAAAGGGCACCACTGGTGTCAGAACAAGGTCAGTTCAATCCAGCTCAGGAGAAAGATTTTTGCAGTAACTAACACAAGGGACATGAAGTGCTTGCTTAAATGACTAATTCTGGTTTGTGATACTAGAAAACAAGCGTGGGCCTGCATTTTCTTGGTGGCTTTATAAAGGAAACAAAAGCTGCAACCAGCAGAGCAGAGGTCATAAATTGGGCAGGTCCTTCCAAGGTCCTTACTCCTTTCCGGGTTAAGTTCAAAATCATACTGCAATATCAAAACATACACACAAGCCCCAAATATTTCCTCCTGCTCTGAAGACTGAACTTTACAATATGAAAACCTGTCTAGAGACGAAAATTTAAGCACTTGGAGCAGCATGTTTAAACCATACTCTGGGCTTGCTTGCTGAATTTTGTTACGTTTGGAACTCAAGTATACAAAGGAAGCATGAAAATGAATGTCAAGACTGCTTCCTATGCCTCTAAGCAGTTTTGGCTTGAGGAAAGATCCCTGAAACAAGATTTTCATTTGTTTGTTGTATGATTTTAGAAGTTGCTCAAAAGCCCTTGTGGGAACGCCTGTGCAACTTTATGTTCTTCCCACTCAAGTGTCTGCTTTTGGAATGGTGAACCAAATTAAAACCAAAATCCCAGCCCGAGAGTATTGAGCTTGATATATCTTCTCAACCACCTTCTTACCAAAGCCTAAACAATACATTTTACCTACTGCTAACTGTAACAGTCCCAATGGAAAGAAAGGCAAGAAAACCGGTGAAGTTGTATCAGGGGTTAAACAAAAAGAGTTTTCATAGAATAGTTGAGGTTGGAAGGGACCTTTAGAGGTTGTCTAGCCCAACCCCCCCTTCAAAGAGCAAGGACATCTTCAACTCGATCAGGTTGCTCAGAGCCCAGTCCAACCTGGCCTTGAATGTTTCCAGGGATGGGGCATCTACCACCTCTCTGGTAAACGCATTCCAGTGCTTCACCACACTCCTTGTAAAAAATTCCTTCCTTATATTTAGTCTAAATCTACCCTCTTTTAGTGTAAAACCATTACTCCTTGTCTTATCACAACAGGCCCTGCTAAAAAGTTTGTCCCCATCTTTGTTATAAGCTCCCTTTAAACCATGAAAGGCTGCAATATGTCTCCAGGTTTTATGGGAGTACAACAGCCAAATGTTTTCCCAGATGAAAAAAGCTATTTGACAACATACTCAACTGGTAACAGCACAATATTCTTACCACTACATATCCTCTGTTACGCTTCTGAACAAAACCTGACATGAATTAGTGCTAGCCTATGCCTGGCTTCAGACTGAAAGGTGCTCTTTACTCGCAGTTTTTAAAATGTGTAGCCCTGGCTGATACTAGCTAGTAAAACTGGTAAGTACGGTGCCTTTTGTCATCTACAAAACAATCACAGTATAAAACGGTGGTGCAGAGAAAATACAGACAACAGGAAGCTCAGCTAAATGTGTTTGGTGTGCAATGCTTTACATGCAAGTCCAAGTAGTGTAATAGTACCCTTCTGGTTACTAAGAATCCAACAGACTGAGCTTCACTAGAGGGCCCAGGCACCAGATAGAAAGACATTGCAGAAATCCTGCATGCTACAGTGAAAAGCACTATACAGTAAATAAACACGCTTACGGGCACTAGCCAAGTTTTCAATTGCTTTGGCATAGGAAGAAGTCTCTCTCATGTACGTGTTTTCCCAGAACTACAACTTCTTCCAAAACATTTGGTGTGGCCAATGTCAGACACAGGACAAAACATGATAATTGCTCCAGTGTGGCAGTTGCGATGTTCTCAAGGCAGGTCACCAAAAATGAATGTGCCAGCTGCTGCATTAATGCCACATTGGACAGAAACAGCACTCTTCAACTATGGCTGATGGATCACTTGTGGGTGGTACACTAAGCTCCCAGTAGTAGCTGGTGCTTAAATTCTGGTCTTCTACTGGACCTGCTAAAAAACATTCAGTGCTTAATCCAAGCATAACAAAATGTACTGAATTTTCTATACCTCATCATTATTTTACCTGTTTTTTTTTTTTAATGTATTGTATCATATAGAGAGCAAGCAATATTACATACAGGTAAAAAGAAAATGAACAGTAATCTTATAACTACAAAGCTTCCAGTGTCATCTCAATAATGAAGAGCTTTTATAGCAAGTAAATATAAAGTGAATTCAATGCAACATAGAATTTTCTTTCTGCATTTCATGAGTGAAGGGGTTTTTCTTTAATATATAAAGGAAACACAAAGGCTTTAATCTATCTGAGCCTCTGTAATAAAGATGAAGAAAGTAGAGATCACAGTAAGATCTAGTGGTCATAGGAACTAACCAAAGGAAGATAACAAAGGTTATACTGGAATTGTACGTAATCAGAAGTATCTGTACTGGGATCCATCTCATTTAAGAGATTCGTTAATGCCTAAATCCTCCCAAATTAAGAGAGGGTTAATGAAATGTTAGCATAAGCAAATTGGTTAAGCACCAACAAAAGAGATGGAGAGGATAAAAGGATTGGAGCAATTCTTATGTCTGGGCAGATGTGTTTTCTTCTCCTGAGCAGGAAGGAGAAGAGTTTAAATGCACAGACGGAGAAAGAAAAACGAGTAGAAGTATGCTTCCATAAGATAAATCCCTCATGAGGACTCTGCCCGCACTGAAAACTTTGACATTTCCTTGCCTATAGAAGCTGAAACCATCTGCATCTTCTTTGTATTCTCTGCGGGGGAAAAAAATTACAACTGTGACATGCTGCTTGCTGTTTTCTCTATAATCACGAAAAAAATCCCATTAAAAACATCATAAAGCTGTCCATAAGCCAGATCATAATTATAAGTGTGGCATTGTGGGATTCCTCTCTTCCTTGATCTTCATAACTGCCTTGCTCCTTTGACTGCCAAATCCTTTTTCTTCTTGTGTGATTTTAAAGAACTACCTCCTCCTAAAAATAGCTTTAAATGTAGTGAAAATCTCAGACTAAAGGAATCAACTATAGGATAATAAAAGAGTCAACATAGAACACAACTTTTGAAGAAGTCAAACACCAGGTAGATTACAGCTTTGCAGATGAGGAAGAGAATTATCTCAGAAAGAGGAATTGGTACACAAAACGACAAGGTGTAAAACAGAGATATTAAAAACTAGTCACCTTGGCTTTAACAGCAGCTACTGACAGAAGCATATAAAGCTGGTGATGCCTTTCAGAAAGAGTACATCAATGAGATAAGGTGGTCTTTTAAAGCCAAGTGAATCCTTACTACCAGGCAAGCAGGAGCAAGGGTGGCTCTAAGTGAAATTACAGTGACATCAGCGATGTCACTGGGCGACATTAGTCTCAGGCATCTTCGCTGCCACTAAGAAATTATTTTATCAAAAAAACCCCAAAGCAACCCACAACTCCAAACATGTAGCCAAGAGCACAGTAAGCTGGCAGCCTGATTTATGACCTCCACCGACACTCAGGATCTTTAAAGGAATACAATGAATAACACAAATACTCTAGTCTATTAAGTATACTCATAAAACACACAGTTATTTTATTTTGCTAGTAGTATGCTGAACTTCTGTGATCTTTAAAAGAACCATTTTTAATTTTAGTCACCCAAAGATTTCTTTAGCACTAGATGCTAATTTTTAAGGAATTTACACTAATAAATTTCTAACTTTTACAGGCCATTCGCCTTCTCCCTCCTCACAGCACAACTGAGTACTTTGGAAAACATTTGATTTTACTGCAAGACTACTACTTGTAATACAGGACACCAGAAAATACAAAGAAATAAGAAGAAAAACTCTTACTAGCAATCAGACCTGTTAAATTCATCATATTTGGTTTGCAGCAAAAAAAAAAAAGAATTAAATGATCTTTAACCAGAAAATTGTGCACAATGCAAGCCTTTGTTAGCGTGTGATCTTTTCACCAGCACTTGCTTGCGTTCCCTCCCTGGATAATGTGCTGAGCTAGTCTGTTGAGTTTTGTTTTGCATTGCACTGTCAGTGTTGGGAGAGGAGACATGTTGTGACATGTTTCTGCACAGCATCTAGCAAATAGCAACTCTGCTTCCAGCTGCTGTCTCTGGGTGGCTGCAACACAAGTAACAGGAGTGTGCTGATTGATTACAGCTTGCCCTGCATCTTCTCTGGGACAGATCTCCTTTGTCATATATTCTCAACAAGGAAGATCATCATACAATCGACAATCCGAACATTACCTCCACCAGTTATGCTAATAAAGTAAACAAACCTTGTTAACCAAGGTCATTGCGTAAACCAGTAGTTCGGTATCAACCCCATCCTTCTCCTCCAGGATCTCCATGATGTTGGACCACGGCTTGGCTCCTAGAGGAAAAGCAGAGACCATTGGTGATGGTGATCAAAATGCATTTATCCAAGAGGTAGTGCTAGTTGGATGTAGAGCCAGGTGGAAGATCAAGCCGAAAGACAGTTCTCTACAGCTTCCCCCTACAGCCCCCCCCTCGCTTCACAGAGAGTGAGGTTAACACAGTCAGTGAAAGCTATGGTGCTTCCTAATGCAAGGACCTAAAAGATGTCAGGTGGACTTTCCCCAGAGGTACCAGTTTCTCTCCCTCGATGATGAAGGAAGTTTTGTTAACCCAGTTTGACTGACAGTGAACTTCTAAAATCAGATGGGAGGAATCTTACCCCACCTATCATAGCTTCACACAGGCTTAGATAAATTTTCAGGAAGGATCTATATGCTACTCTCTCTGTGCATTTGATGCTTACGTTCCTAGTGCTATCACTGACTTACGCTGCATTAAGATCAGTCCTGTTAACAAAACAATGTGGCAGAGAAACACAGTTTTCTCAAATTACAGGCTGTGTGTCTTGGATAAAAGAAATGATCAGTGAGGGGAAAAGATTTTTGCTGTGGTTCTTACTCCAATTATTTTAATAAGAATCCCTTCTACAGAACTTTCAGATGTGTTTCTCCCATTTTTTCCACGAAGTAAGGTCAAAATTTTTGCTTTTAGTTATGATGTAGATGCTCGATTTGCAGGTTGATTTGCATTTCCATGGTTATCTCATGCCTAAATGCAAGTGGCTTAGTGAGTGATTGTGCCAAAAATATCAGACAGGCAATGTCAGGCTGACTCAAGATAACCTCTTGTGTAGGTACCTTGCAAAATCATCCTCTTTCATCTGGCTAAAAGGCAGATGGTTGCATTCACTAAAGAAAAAAAACACTGACTATTTTATCTAGGAAACTGAAGTAATCAAGGAAAGGCTATAATTCAGTGTTTTGTTTGGAGTAAAGTTAAAGGTGAGGAGGACAAAGCAGAAAGCTAATCCTGACTTAGAGATACTCAGTTCCACTACACCAGCATAACTGCGAGAGTCTTTGAATTTCAGAGGAAAGCATGCAGAGCATTCCAACAGCCCACACTCCCTAAACAGAATAGGGATGACGATAGTTTGAGTATAATCAGGCAGTAAAATTCACATGTTTCATCACAACCACCTGTTGCCGGCTGATCAGTGACCCCGGGGTTAAAACTCTGCATTGCTCTCACAGTGATAACGGCCCTTGTTTATTCATGCTGATATTATATATATACAACCTGTTACACAGACATCAAACCTCTGCTAACCAAGGATCTCTTGTTTTCAAAGCACTGGCAGTGCACTGTGTGGAAAAACCTGCCTATTAACGAGCACACAGACAGCAATATTTCTCCTGTTTTCTCTCCTTCTGTTTTTCAAGACAGTCTCTGATCTTTGCTACTGAATAATAAATCAGAACTTCCTTATCCTGAGCAAAATCAAAGGAGGAGGGGGATTCACTCTCAGCCTCTCCAGATGTATTTATGTGCATTACTAATTAAATACTAATTCATATACATGGCTGTAATGAAAATACACTAGACACCTCTTTACCAGATCCTCTATATTACCAGACATTTTGTGCAGCACATGTTCAAAAGACATGTGGAACAAATTCACTCAGCTGACAAATGATATATGATCAGCAAGAATGATATCCTCACTACAAAAATGTCTTCCTGTGGTTTCCAGTGAAAAATAAAAAGGGAAGAAAATAAGAAAGAGAAACAAAATGGGGAAACAATGCAAGTCTGACTTATAACAATTACATTCGGAAAAAAGTAAACTGACAACAACATAAAAAAATAATTATTTAATCCATAATTCATTATTCAGCGAAAGTCCTTCTAGGGAAACATGCCTTTATTCTGCAGGCAGGTTTTATTCTTACTGGAATAATACTATTTTGGTTTTTTAAAGACTGTATTCATGTGTTTGATTTTTTTTTTTTTCCTGAATGTCTCTATACTTCTCCATTATCATAAAAGAATATTTTCAGGATCGCCTTGCTGTTTTCGTGCAAGGATGATATATAATTTTCTTCTACCCATGCTGCTTCTCTTTCTCAGAATACAATTTTTAGAAATTGTTAATCAGGCACACCCACTAGCAAAGCAGCCCTGTAATAGCTCATGCATCTTTCAAGGCTTTAATTAAGGTGCTGCTACTAAACTTTGCCAATTTCCAAAATCTAACATTAAACCGAAATTCTTTGTGTATTTCCTAAGTAAAATCAAGAGGAGGCAGTACTATCAATGACGTTCATAGAGCTACTCCAATCTGTACCAGATTAAAGCTTTCTTTTCAAATGCTATTTTCTTCATTCTGATCTCAAGCTGAACAGCCAAGGAGTGAACATGGAAGCAGCCATAAAGCTGTCTACCCTCCTGGGGACACGGCGGCTCTGGTGTGGAAGCTGCACCATGAACTTACTGCATTACTATACTCGGGTTAATACTCCTTGCTAATATACAAGAGGGCCTATAGTTTCCAACATACGATCCGGACAGCATGGGACGCGGGCAGATCTAGGGCAGGTGTCTGCACTTATCCACTCTCATGCCCTGAGCTTGGATTTCCAAATACGTTACTCCTGGAGAGTCAACACTTAAAGATGAGACCACAGGCTGAAGTCTACATGAGAAAATTAATTTTTAAGGCAATATTTTTTTAATGATAGGATGATAGTGAAAAAACTCATTCTCCTTTCAAGATGCAGAGAAAAACTTTGTGAAAGATACGTTGGAAAATCATACACTAAAAAAATTGGTGACTTTCCTAAACTCTTTGGTTGGTGTAATAAAACGATGACGCTCATACAAGAGATATGAAAAACATGATATATGTTTTTGCTTTTCCTTTAAAAGGTTATTTGTATTGTGAAGAATATTAAAACCTCTCCATTTATAGATGGAGAGGAACCTTTGAGGCAACTATTATGAAGAGCTAAAATCTACAGCTTCCATTTTCTGTGTAATGGTCAGAATACAGCAAATCTTGAAAAACCTAAATTCAAATCTCAGTTTGGCAACGCACATGTATTTCTAGTAAAAAGAAACAAATCTGTTTAATATTTTATATTATGGAGTTTACTTTTTAAAATAGCTAAGTGTAATCATTTACGCTAGCCAGTTCTCAACAAGGTGTACTTTCCAGCCTGTCTCCTCCACCCGATCGTGATGTAGAAGAATGATGACGAAAAGGAACAATGACGTAGCATCCCAGCAGTTCTTCTGGGAGCAGACCGGGATGCTCCCGTAAGGTTATGACTTCCATGCAGGACTCGCGGCAAAATTGATGGGAGTGACGAAACAGGCTCAGTAAAGTAAAACAGCAGAGGTCGAGTTATGTGTGTGTTCTCCCGCCTTCTAATGGGTGAAACGAGAACCGCTCGACTGCCTTTCACAGTCTTCTCACTGCTAACAGCTCGCCGCTCTCTTGGCTACTCGGACAGGAAGGCTGCGGCCTCAACCCTGATGCTACTACAGCACTCCAAGTAGTCACGCACAGAGCATAAACACGCGGAGAACTATGAGGTTGCAATAATTACACCTATATTAAATTAGTACAGCCTAGTGAATAACGTTGCCCATTGTTTTAAGTTTCAGTCTTTTCTCTGTTTCCCCTTTGAATGTTTTTACATACAAACCTCAGGAAAAAAAATAATTAATTTAATGCCGTATGCAAAATGTTGACATCACAACTACACAGGACTTGCACATTATGCCTAAACCATGGAAAGCCTTGCATCAGGTCAGAACCGTACACGAGGACTTGCACCAACTTACAGAGTGCCTGTCTCTAGTTGCCATAGGATGGAAAGTTACTAATACTTTTGGAAAGACCTCAACATCTTGTATTTCTAGCTGTTTAAATAAGTGTGAACATACAGCCTTCCATCATACCTACAATACGGGCATTACTCTACTGGATATCTAACTATGTGCAAAATGGCAAGAAAGGTGGAGATACTGATAACGTGGGTGTTTTACAAATAATGTAAGATGGTAGAATTCACAAACAGTATGTGACAGTGTCCAGGTCACCCACTGAGCTTTCATCTCTGTCCTAAAAAATGCTCATGATAAAGCAGCCCCAGACAGCAGACAGCAATGCCAGCTCCGCTTTCCAGAGCCCACAGTATGCTTAAACTGAAAAGAGATCAAATTCCTCTGGGGCTCTGAAACAAGAAAGGGCGGGGGAAGGGGGATCTAGATGGAAGTATAAGTAGAGGCTACTTCCTATATGATGAGGGCCATACACTTATTCACTTATGGTTTGCTTGTATCTGAGAGTAAAGCCGGCACTTCTGCAGATCTCTGTACGTCAGTCTGCATATGGATGTATTCTCGCATAGAAACCACAGATGGGATCGCTTTAAAACGAGGCAGAGTTATTATGGGGTTCTTTATGTTAATCATGTGTGGTACACATGTTGAGGAATTATGTCATATCTCATCACCTTGTATGTACATGAAGCACTGGACTTTTTTCAAAGCAGTGCTAAACTTAATTATATACCTGTAAGATTCATGACAATGTTTCAAGAAAAGGCACATCGCCTTTTCTTTCTCTGTATTCCTGCTCCATTAAATCATTCATCAAAGACAGGTACTCTTCAGTTATAAGCCACTAGTTTCAAAATATAAATTAAAATATAGCGCATCCACAGTGAAAAGTGAAAAACAAACTAAGCCTAAAACAAGAAAGATAACTGCTTAATAATTAAAAAAAAAAAAAGGGAAGGAAGGAAAACTGTGTATTTGGAGCTAAGTTATTTGCAAGAGTTCATGAGACAATCCGCCAACCCACAGGTATGAGAATTCCCATAAACCCTCTCCTCCTGCTCCTAGCAACTATCCAGCTAACTACATGCATCACTTTTTTTTCCACATGCTTTTTGTTGTTACTGAAGTTGTTTTATTACTTTGGGGCACGTAAATATTTGCCTGAGGCTGTTTTACAGATACAGAAGGGAATACACAGTGGCTGGTAGTGTATTTAGGATTCTCCTTTCTCTCTCTTTTTTCTTTAATGAGGTTTACTAGCATGTGAACAGATGGCAATTTGAACATGTCGAGAATACCAGTGAGTTCAGAGAGCTGAGGAAATGCTAAGGATGACTGTAAAAATAAATCGTAGCGCTCACAATTACATGACTATTGTAATTACATTTCTGCATATGGCATTGTAAGGTCTCTTGGTTTTAACTCAAGACAGAAAACTAACCTGGAGAGTCCACCATTTGAAGTGTTAGACTGGTTTTGAATTGCCCCTGTCTGCTCCCCCAACTTAAGAGACAATTTGGGCTTTTTGGGGGGGTCTTTTCAACACACTCATACTGATAACCGAAAGCAAAACCTGGCTACTTTCTTCTATTTCTGGCACCATCTTTCTCCCCGTCCTCAAACTTTTTTTGTTTCACTTTTACCATATCAAGTCGCTCAAACAAGTTCAGCATGGAGGCAGTTGCTCCATAGAGGGGATCTTGCTTTCAACCGCCATGTGTTCGAGACCACAACAATGGCTCTCCCAACCTCAAAAACTCTCCTTGAGGCAAAGGAATGTTTTGCATCAAGAGAGAATGCCCCAGGAGCTTAGCAATGGCTTTGTGGGAAGAACAAGAAAGAACCATTTTTGTTCTATTTATTTGTAAAAAATACAGCATACGTATTCAAGTATTTTTCACAAGCCTGAAGGGTAACAGATTTCATCGTATAATACCTGCTCAAGGGCTTTATTTTAATGTAACAACAGATGGTTTTACTTTTACTATAAAGCCTGTACTATTACTGACCTCGTCTTTCTCTTCAAAGGGATTACACTGATTAGATACCATTTTCTCTTCTAAATCAGACTGCTGCTTCTCAGAAGGAAGTGGAAAGACGGCCTGGCCCAAAGGAGCCTCCAAGGTCGGAAGATGCAAAGGGGCTCACTTTGCACGTGGGTGCGTGGAAGGGGCAATGGCTACAGTGCCCAGGGAGGCAGTTGAGTTCCTCAGCTTTTCACTCTTCACTTTCCTGTTATAATTCATTCCTCAAAACAATCTTAAATTGCATGAATACTTAAAATATGCTTCAAGAAATGAAGGGTATGTCGCACAAAGCAGGCATCATGACAGCAACTCTGAACCACTGAAATCCGTGATAAAATGCCACCCTGATCTCAGCGGTGCTGGGATTTTGCAACTCCCGAGTAAGGGTACTCACCTCTCTTTTCATCAACAGTAGACACTGCCTGGATTAAAAGCGGTGCGTTGGATTCGGTATACTCCACAAACACCAGCAGCAGCTTCAGCGCTGTCTTTACCACCAGGCGGAACTGGAAGGTTTTTTGTGTGACTTGTCATTCAGCAAACCACAACTTTTCCAGATGTGCTACATGACACCGGGCAAGACACAAGCGCAGCAATCCAGATCTAGTAATAACACACAAATGGAAGACATTAAGCTGTGCCAGGACTGAAAAAATGAAAGGTAGCCAGTTGGCTGAAGATTTCATTCACCGGCCTGTGCTCTCCTAGGGGAGTCTCAATAGTCAAAGAATCCAAACGAAAGCTTAATGCTGCCACATGTAATAAAAGGTTGAACATCCCACCTATGCATGCACATATGCATCTCTCCAACACAGTTGTCCAAAGCCTGATGTACACAGAATCTACTGAGTTAGAAACGCATATATTCCTCTATTTCTCTTGACAACATTTCTTTTCCCCTTTCGCCATGAGCTTTTAATGCTGTCAAATTGCTGTACGATGGGGTGATTTTCTCCTCGTCCTTTTTTCTTTTCTTATAATGTCAATATAAAATGCTTAAATAATCAAATATGTTGATATTCACTACTTACACAACTTGGGAGAAAGCGTGTTTAATCTCCATCTATGCCACCCTGTCACAAAATGCGTGATTTACTGGAACTGAGCTTTCTGCCTGTAAGTTTTCAAACTAATCATTGAACATCCCCAGGAGCATAAGTTCAACAAAGACTCAATATTGATATAACAGACCTAATGGAAATCAATAGCCAAACTCTTATCAGTTTCACCACTGATCTCCCGTTTGCAGAGTGGACCGTTTGACTATTAGATAATTTTCAAAGCACTGAATAAGAATTTTCAGGGACTTGCTTGGCATGATCAGGTATGTGGAAAAAACCCTCTTAAGGGAATATTTGGAGTTTTTAGTAAAGGGAGGTGTGAAAAAGGAGGACTTTTTAATAGGCCGGTCTCTACATGCCTAGCTGAGAAGATTTTTACTAGAAGAATTGATTCTAGGTCAAATCTGTTATATCCTCAGTCTAAATCATGGATCTAAAGCCAAATGAAAGGTGATACACCACCCAGAAACATAATTTCCCATCTACTGTGATTACTGAATCAGGCTCCAGAAAAATGGGTATTTGTAAGTTCACTGTAATTTTCTGCTACCTTACTCCGCAATAAATCTGTCTGATACCATGTAAGATTTTTAATGAGGCAGCTATAGTAATTAATGTGGTCATTACTCTCTCCTTTGCCACTGACAGATTTGTAAATCTGCTTTAGGATGGATTCATGTAGAGATAAGCCACGCTCCAGAAAATCCCCGTCTTTGTCTTACTACGTTAAGTTGGTAGGCACTCTGAAACATAACCACCTGGTCTTTAAAATGTCTCATGCTGAAGGAAGCAAAAAAAAAAAAAATCATTATACTCTATTGCTAAACCGTTTCAGGGAGATACATATATATATAGTTTCTGTTAGTATTAGGTCATTCCCATTCCCTCATTTTTTCAAGTCCTTGCAACACAACTCTCCTAAGAGGCAAAGAATCAATATTAATCATTTTATAGATGGACTGAAAGACTGTGTTTATATTCTCAAAAAGACTGCAAGTGCAACACGCAGACTCAAGCTCCTGCGTTCACACTGCCATTCCCAAGGATGTACTGGAGCTCACGTTAAGGTAATGAGCTAAAATGCAGGTTGCAGCTTACTGCTATAAACGCTGAGTTTAGTGTGAACAGTGACTTAGTTATTTCCCTAGCTTTTCGGGTTTTACCCACTCATGCTGAGCTGAGCTTCATGCACCGCAATGATACTACCTAGCAACATAATATCTGTTGTCGAGTCTAGACTCTTTCAGACTTGATGTATCATCAGATCAGTTATTTTTAGGGCTGACAGCCAGGAAATCCCAGTGACAAACCTGACTAGGTCCCTCAAGATGCCTGATCAGCCCAATTTGCAGTTGTACTGCTGCAGTGACACTTCATAGATACAGGGGGTAGTCAAACTAAAGGAAACTGAAATCCGACTGACACACAGCACAGTCGTTCCTTGGCAAGACACTGCTGGTACACCAACAAATCACTCCCTCACGATGGCACTGGACATCTGTGTATTTGCCTGGCAGGCCAATACCACACTGTTTCTGCTCTGCAATGACATGTCCCTTTGCAATCAAGTTTAATTGTTTAATAGATATTATAAGAATTTCCAGCATGTTTCCACTTGTTTTGTAAAGTTACTTCATAAAACAGGAGTTACCAGATTACCAGTGGGGGACAAACCAGGCTTATGCCTATTTTTTGCAAATCTCTTTTTCTTCCAGAAAGTAGGCAGGACATTCTGCAATGCCTTTGCTCTAACTGTTGCCTGTGGCCATGGCAGCTGCGGTAATAAGGAGCTAGTCCCTGGGCACCTTGTGTCTGCCACGCTGCAAACCCTGTAGAGCCCCAGGGCAGACCCCTACAGCCGCACCGGGCCAAGGCTCAAATCGGCTGAATATTCAGGTGCTGTCTGCAAGTGTCAACCTCCTGTGCTTATCGAGCTAGCAGATGACCGTGTAAGGAATAAATACCATCCAGAAGCAGTCCCGAAGAAAAGGAGTGATTGGAAAAGCTATGTTTTGCCTGCCATTTAGCCCGTAGGAGACCGTAAGTTCAGTTCCCCACCCTGTAAATTTCAGGGCTTATCCAGCTCCTCACAAAATCGTCAGTCAGCCCTGGGAAGTGGAGGTGTCTGCAGGTGAAGGTAGATACCATGGCAGCTTTCTGCCGATAGTCAGCATGGCCACCAGCTTGGAGAAAAACTGTATTTAAAACACACTGTTTCCCGCTCAGTAGAAAAATGGTATTTGAGACCCCTGTAGGCACTTTTAAGCCTGCACGCTGCTGAGGCATGTCCTAGACTAAGCCGCACAACGTCTACACTGGGGACTTACCAGCTACCTGTGAAAACACAAACCACAACCTTTGCACACGTGCCACAATGGGGCTTTTTAATGCTGCTTTAATAGTGCTGCTTGACAGAAGCAGGCAGTCATTGAGCAGCTGCACTGCCCCTTGGAAACTGAAGTCTCCAGCCAGCCAAGGGCCCTCCAGGACATCTGATAGCCTGTCACCCCCAGACACAAGGACAGTCCAGAGCCTGACACGCTCACACTGAAACCAACTCTAATTATCCACCATGGCACCAAGAAGTCTCTGAAAGGTCTGTTCCAGGGATACTTGCTGCCGAGACCCATGTGAAGCAAGGTGTATTTTCTCATGTGGCCTCCAATGTGATGACCCACCTGTTAAATGACCCCTTCACAACCCATGGTGGTCCTGACCTGCCTGTAGCAGCTCACACATGCTGCTGCTGACACGTTGAGTGTCGGGATGCTGCTGCTGACACACTAAGTGTAGGGTATCAACAGGAAGGGTTTCAACCAAGACCGAGAATGACTGTTTCACAACTTTCAAAATACCAGAGCTGTTTAGAAGGTTTCTATTTGTGATTAACTATGATGACTGTCAAAGTGGGAGATGCTCATATCTTCGTGAGTGACTGTGTTTGCAGGGCATGCCTTTCCAATTATTTAAATAGTAGACAGCTACATTGCAAATAAATTAACTGTAAATCTCAAAACTGGGAGATTGCTTAACAGGAAAAAAAGAGCAGCAATTCATCGACTTTCTTGCTTCCCTTTGTGAAGCCACGTAAGTTTTTGCCAGTCACTGTATCGCTTTATTTCACACTATGGACCCAGAAGTCACAGCAACAGGAGCAACAGAAAAAAGTTTCATATTTCATTCACGAGTAGGTGAATCACTATCATCTGAATCACTGTTAAAAACTTCGTGACGGCTTTTAAGGCTGTTTCTGGGATTTACTGGGCTTTCGTTCAGTAGCAAAGATGGACACAACTGCTTTCTGAATCAGTTTCAACAGAGATGCAGTTCTGTTAAAATCCACGGGGCAATCACACTATTAGTTCAAACAGGACTAGATGTCGTAAGAGCAATAAAAGCGCTAGACATATGCTTGTTCTAGCTCTGAAAAAAAAAGCCCCGGTATCATTACTTTGCAAACATAGGTTGTTGCAATTAATTCCCAATTTCCACCGTAAATATTACTCCTTAGTTAAAAAAGATGGTTCATCGAGGCAATATGCACACCTACTTGCTCAGTTAACCAATGTTTTAACAGTTCTGAGATCAAATCAGGATTCTCAAATTTCATAGCAATGAAGTATCAAAACTTTTACTAAGTTAGAAAAAAAAGTCATACTGTGTTTTTGTACCACGTGCGAGCCAATTTATAGAGAGGAAATGATGTTAGCATCTTCTGGCTAAAGATAAGACGTAGCCAGCAATATACAAGGAAGAAGAAAAATTATAAACCTTTTCCCTCTGACTCGCTTTATGTTATGCAGTGGTGTTTGGCAGTCCCTTTCCTTTTTATCTCTTTATATTTAGACAATCGGAAATGTGTTACAGACCCAGCCAAACAGACCACACAACAGGCTGCAAAACTCATGTCTCATGGTAGGGCTTGTCCCAGTTGTTAATCACTTGCCAGGAAAGGCTTAAGCCTTTACAAGGAATGCTGTCAGAAAGTTCACTGACTTAGAGACCAAAGCAATATTTGCAAAGTTTGGATTTAAAAATGTAGGTGTTTTTTTTTTTAAAAAAAAGAGCAAAGCTAGCTACACCAAAATTGAGTAAAAACTTTATGTTTCACTCAGGGTATTGTAGTTGCTTTGGCTTTATACTATTCAAATTTAAAGGAGAAATTGGCATTGGATTTACTATGGCCAAATCCTCCGATGCCTATTCCAACCGCAGGCATGGCCTCATAGGCCATGTACTCATCCTATTGATAAGACACAGCCAGGCAGAGTTGCAGCAAAAGAAGCATGCAGTGTAACCAGCGTCCAGCCCGCCAGAGAGAGGTGTGCAGGAAAGCAGAAATCCTTCTTTCTTGTGGGGTGCAAAGATGCCCCTGACTTCAGACCTGGTGCTGTGGGAACAGCCCACTGGTGTCCCACCAGCACCTGCAGTGTGGCTCAGTTTGA